CCCCCAAAACAGTACTTCTGTCTTGTCGGGATTCAACCTTAATCTGTTAGCTGCCATCCATTCTCCAACCATTTCCAGACACTCACACAGGACAATCACTGCCTTCACTGGTTCTGATTTAAAAAGAGAGGTCATCCACATACTGATGAACACCCAGCCCAACCCCCCTGATGATCTCTCCCAGCGGCTTCATAAAGATGTTAAAAAGCATGGGGGAGAGGACAGAACCCTGAGGCACCCCACAAGAGAGAGCCATGGGGTCTGAACACTCATCCCCCACCACCACTCTCTGAACACGGCCCAGGAGGAAGGAGCGGAACCACTGCTTAGCATTGCCCCCAGCTCCTCTAGACCAGTGTTTCCCAACCTTTTTTGGGCAAAGGCACACTTGTTTGATGAAAAAAATCTCGAGGCACACCACCATTACAGCCCCGTGACGTCAGCGTGCAGCATCACGCCGGGAGGGACGCACGAAAGTGTAACTTTCAATTTTTTTCCCTCCCCCTTGCCGGGGAACCTCCAAGCTTTGGGGGTTGGGGGGGGAGGAGGCAGCAAAGCGAGGGACTGAGGGACTCCTCCAACGACAAGGGTTGGGGAAGAAGAGAAAGGGCTATTCCGCTCCAGTCACGGGAGGGGAATATGTACTGGCCCAACTGGTGTGCGGTCTTCGGAAAGCGGGGTGCGGGAAGGAAGCCTAGGCTCGGGGTCCACCGACCTCGGCGGAGAAAGGCAACAACCGGAGCCGATGACGAGCCGGCGCGTGCGTGCAGCGGCTGGCCTTGAGCTCGGGAAGCTGCGCGCGGCGATGTTGACGTGGGGCGCGCGAGAGCTTGGGGGCGGGGCGGGAGAGAGAGAGAAAGAGTTGGCAGCACCAGGCGCTGTTACTTATTGCGCTGCGGACGCTGCCAGCAACTGCGGTGGTTGTGCGGCGGCCGCCACCGCAGAACGTCCTCGTCAGTCAGCTGAGCTGCCTGGCGGCGTAGGGAGCCGAGGGGCGGAGCTTCCTTTCTGAAGGAGCTGAGGGTGGGGGTCCTCCGGCACCTTCGGCGAAACGGCGCCGGCCCAGAGCACTTCTAGGAGGCTGCCTTTGTGCGCGACGTAAAGCCCTCTTTCCCTCCCTCCAGCCCCGTGTCACATGTGGAAAAGGGGGCTGGATCCAGTGACGCAACTCGGAAAACTGTTAGGGAAGCCAGAGCAGGAAAGTGAGTGGGAGGCGGCGGCGCCGCTTTAACCCACGTTTCCTTTTTGAAAGAGAAACCAGTGTTTCCCAACCTTTTTTGGACTCGCTCGCGGCACACCAGGCAACATCTCGCGGCACACCGGTTGGGAAACACTGCTCTAGACAATCCAGAAGGAAGTCATGGTCAATGGCAAGGGTCAGCGAACTTTTCAGCTGGGGGCCGGTTCACTGTCCCTCAGACCTTGTGGGGGGGGCCAGACTGTAATTTGGAAAAAAAAATAATGAACGAATTCCTATGCCCTACAAATAACCCAGAGATGCATTTTAAATAAAAGCATGCATTCTACTCATGTAAAAACATGCTGATTCCTGGACCGTCCGTGGGCCGGATTTAGAAGGCGATTGGGCCGGATCCGGCCCCCAGGCCTTAGTTTGCCTACCCATGGTCAATGGTGTCAAAGGCCACTGAGAGATGCAGCAGAACCAGGAAACAGCTATCCCTAGCCCACTGGAGATCATTGACCAGTGCAACCAAGGCTTTTTCAGTCCCATGATAAGGCCTGAATTCTGATTGGAAGGGATCCTAATGGTCTGCATCCTCCAGGAGTTGTTCAGCCACTGAAATTTAGTTCAGCTGCTTCCCTGGGATGTTAGCTGATATTGCCCACACACTTTTGAGCATATTTTCATAACCAGGAGGGATAGAATCTTGATTTAAAAGAAGGAGTGATGCCATGGGTCACATCTGGCTCTCAGCCTGGCAGTTTCCTACTCCTGCTCTTGCCCCAGAGTGTTTGCCCTGAATTCTAAATCTCTGGACCCAGATGGGGCATCCTTCCTAAATCTCTGGAGCTATAATAACAGTAATAATAATTTTATTATTTATACCCCGCCCACCTGGCTGCCATCTTTCCTAATCATGAGGAACGGCATTTGCTGTATAAATTACCTTACACTTCCTACGGTATCTCAGTTAGGCCTTAAATAGGCACTGGTGTGGGTTGTTGCTCTTGTTTTTGGTGATATGTAAATTTTATTTCAACTTACCGGTAATTGGCTTATCAATAAATAAGTTGACAGCCCTAAGGGAGGGAAATAGAGCCTTCTGATTATGCAGTCTCTCATCTGTCCTCTTAGTCATCTGCGTGTGGACATGGAAAGTGACAAATTGGAGGAGGGTGTCATTCTCACTCAAGCATGCTCAGAGAACATGTGCGCACTTCAGAGAACACTAGTGAGTGTGTGTCTTGTGTGTCTGTGTGTCAATGTGTGGAGTGCTGGCAGAGAAGAAGAGCAAAGGATGATGATCTGTCTTCAGGAGTCCTTGATTGTTAGTGCATATTTTGCCTGTAATTCATCCTTCTTCTCTTGCAGAAAATAGTGAAAAAACTGACCCAGATCTTAAGTAGCAGAAGTGAAGCAAATCTAAAGCAAGGTGCCTCTGCCTGTTTTGGTGGTGTGTGTGTTACATTCTTCCTCTTCCACCCCCACATCCTCATGGTCCCTACACCTCACTGTTCAGAATGGCCCCCTGATCTTCTGCAGAGGCTTTATGAGGGGCTGGAGGGGTCAGGAAAATCCCCTTGCTCAAGCTTCCTTCTTCTCTTGCTGTTTGTGATGCAAGCTAGCATTAATGGTGGTAATACTGAGCTGTCATACAGTTATGGAGAAAGGCTTTAAAGTGCACCACACACACTACATGGCTGCAATCCTATAACTTAGGTTCAGCTTGTACAATTATAGTTGATTCATAGGCCTTGTGCAAGGAACCTACTTTTCCCAAAGATTGGGCTTTCTACACTAAGGAAAGTGATGGGAAAATATGCTGGAAAAGGTAGGATAGCTGCCGTTAAGATGGATTTGGCAGCATCAAATGGCTGAGACTGAATTTAGAGAGGCTGTGTACCACCAAAATGCACATGTCTGCAGCATGGACTGTAATTTGCACCTCCCAGTGACCTCAGAAGCTCATGCAATGAGAAAGCTGCAGTTATTCGGTCAGTGGCCAGTGTGTTGGCTGCCATTTTCCCCAGCAGTTGCCTTTCGTGCACCACATGGGTGCCTTCTGCAGACAGCAGGGAACACATTAAACTTTCTGCAATGTTACTATAGGTGTGGAGGGGAAGGAAAGGTGGATCTGATCTTTCAGCTGCCACCAGCTTGATCTTTGTTTGACTCTGGGCTGTGCTCCGCTTTCGAAGACCAGGTGAAGAAGTCACTTTTGCGTATGGCGTTATGCAGCTCAGTCTTTGAGTGGCAGTTGGAAGATACCCCACATGTTTCACAGTCTGTATCTATGCTGACTTCCTCTATCCTACAAATTGGCTTAATGGCTGATTTGTCTCTCCAGGGAACCTGGGAGGTGGGGATCTGTCTATGAAACAAGTGCCAGCTAGAGGGCTCCTAACCAATTGTAGCTCTAAGGCAGGAAATGCCAACCCAGTGCCCTCTATAACATGTGCTACAATTCCCATAAACCCCCAATAGTATGATCAGTGGTCAGGGATAAGTGAAGTTGTTGTCTGTGGTATCTGGGTGGCACCATCTTCACTTCCTCTGCTCTGGGGTTTGGGTGGGTTCAAGGTGTCCTCAGAAGATTGATTTTAAAATGTGGGAGGCACTGGAGGAAAGGGAACTGTCTTATGCTCCTTTTGCCCACCCTCCCCCTACACTTGCAGTAAGATTGGCACTGGCAATATCATGAAAGAGCACAAACCAGGGATGCAGAACCTGTTGCCCTCATGATGTTGTTGGACTCACAAATTCTGCCAGCCCCTACCAGCATGGCCAATTGTCAGGGTTGAAGGGAGATGTATTTCAGCAACATCTGGAGGGCCATAGATGTCCAGAAGGATCATGCTGTGCTCCAGGAGCTGTCTGTTTATGAATGCCACCCTTGTCTCCTACTGAGGTCCATCCTAAACAGGTCTTCTTTGGCATGTCTCTTTGCAAAGAGACCTGTCAGTCTGGGCACTGAACCTGGGGCACACCATAAAAAGGCTTCTACTGCACCAGTTTCGAGGGGCAGAGAGGAGGGACGGCATGCTGCTGAGCAGGACCATTGTCAGTCTGCTCCTATGCACATGTTGCATTAGTTCAAGGCAGTTTGCAGATAGATGATGAATAAACTGCACCCAAACAAGAAACCAAGATCTCTGAGTTTAAAAACAACCCAGAACCAGCAGCAGATAAATCAGGCCAGATGGTTACAATATTGGACTAAAAATATTTTAATCTCACACTGTGGCAACATTAAAAACACAGGCGCTGATTTAAAATGCCTTAGTGTAAATAAACGTTTTCATCTGCTGCTCAAAGGGAATTTATCAGAGCAATTCACAGCTATTTAGTAGATACCCTTTGAAAAGAGAATTACGTTTCCTCAGGGGTTGTATTTCCTTATATTGGCAAGGGTATTTGGCCCTCACTGGTAATGGTGGTGCTGCCTCGATTATTTGACACCAGCTTCCAACTGGTAGTTGGCAGGCAGAGCCAGCCTGGTGGTCCCCTGGTCTCAAGCCCCCCTTCAACCATGGGCTTAGCTCACTGGGTCATCTTTGACTTAACACCATCTCTCAGCCCAACCGACCTCACAGGGTTGTCTCAGGGATATACGGAGGAGAACTGTGAAAGCCATCATTGAGTACCTTGGTGAAAAGGCATAGTATGAACAGAACAAAATAAAGAAAAGTCACATCCTGTGGCTTTGTAGTTGCTGTCCCTTTATTGCTCTACCCATTTTGCTATATTTAAGTGTTTGGACAAAAGTGGTTCTGAGTGCCTAACGCCCCCACCCCTCTCCCACTCTTTTTTCTTATAGATCCGAAGACGTCGCCCAACTCCAGCTACCTTGGTCTTGAGCAGTGACCAGTCATCTCCTGGTGAGAGCCAAAACATACTCATCCATATTTTGGGGTGTCTCACTAGTTTGTGGGAGCAGCTTCAGAAATAAACAAGGAGACCTTTGTCACAGGGGCTGTTGCACTGTTGAGCCATTTTATTGGCCCAGAAGATGCCCTTATGGATCCCTAACATATACCTTGCTCTATCATGGGCAATGAGAACTGTTTTCTTGGCCAATTGTTCCCCTGAAGGGCATGTTATATGTAGGGCTGCCTCTGAAGATGGTTTGGAAACTTCAGCTGGTGCAGAATTCAGCGGCTATGTTGCTCCATGGGGCTAGACGGTTTAAGCATATTATATCAATCTTGGCCCAACTGCACTAGCTGCCAATTAGTTTCTGGGTCTGATTCAAAGTGTTGGTTTTGACCTATAAAGCCTTAACCAGCTGATGACTGCAATACCTGAAGGGCTCCCTCTCCCCATATAGACCAGCCCAGACCCTGCAGTCATCACCTGAGGCCCTTCTCTGTGTGCCTCCTCCAAGGCAGGTCCGGAGGGTGGCAGCACAAGAATGGGCCTTCTCTGTAGTGGCTCCCCGTCTGTGGAATTCTTTCCCCAGTGAGCCTTACCTGGTGCCTTCATTATACACCTTTAGGCGCCAGGTGAAAACATACCTCTTCAACCAGGCCTTTGGCTGACTGACACCCTTTTAAATGTGTCGTAGGGGGATTATTATTATTGGTTCTTATTTTTTATTATGTATTGGGGGGTATTGTATTTTTATGTTACAAGTCACCCTGAGATCTACAAATGGAAGGTGGTATGCAGATTTCATAAATAAATAAAATGTTGCAAGGTGTTTGTTGTTGGCCTGTGTCTCCCTGCTGGTTTTTTGAGAGGTCTTCTTCTTTTTTGGCAATCACTCGTAGCTGAGTAAGATGGACCTAGTGCAGGAAGGTGGACAACCTACAGCCCTAGAGCTGCATAGGACCTTCAGCTGAAATCTGTTACCTCACCCTGCCCTCAATAGTTTAGGACCAGGCTCTTTGAAGGACTTCCTGTACCCATATGCAGCTACCTGGACTTTAAAATTGGTCTCAGAGGTCTTGCTCACGTTTCCTGTCATCAAGATCTATTAAACTGGCAGTGACTAGAGACAGGGTCTTCTCAGTGTTGGCTCTGCACCTGTGGAGCTCCCTCCTGAGGGATACATGCAGCTTTTTTCTACCACAGTGCTATGAAACACCCTCCCTGGGGCAGTGTCTGGCCCCTCTTGATTTCTTTCAATTGAGTTTTTTGCCTGTTTTTCTTGTGGGAGGGTTACATGTTTTGTGGAGGTATTGCCTGCTTTTTTGTGCATTTTTGGTTTTTATTTTGCAATGTGTGTTCAGTATTTTTTGACTGGTTCTTTGTGGGGGAAGAGATGTGGGTTCTGAGCATCACCAACTTTTCTTTCTGTGAAATGGGCATTTTGTGACGCTCTCAACAGTTTTTTCTTAGATTTCCACATGCCCCCCTCTCCAGGTCCAGAATGTTTGCCCTCCCCCATCATTCTTGCACATTGGAGCCCCAAGATGCTTTTGATAAATTTAGGAGAGAACCTCCAGAAAGTGACTTTTATGGCTGAGTGGGGATTTGAACCCTGGTCTCCAAGGTCCTAGTCCAGTCCTCTAACCACTACACCAGAGTGGGTCTCTGGATATCCCTTGTGGGTTGCTGTCCCAAAGACAAGAGCGGGAAAATCCAGCTGAACTGGACAAACAGGAAAGCATCTTCTTTCTTAGCAGGGAGCAACATCTCTGGGGAAAGACCTCACTTGTTGTCTGTGCAGGCCTCTCCTTCCTTTCCCTTTCCTGTCAGTCTCCCACAGCTGCAGCCGGCCTGCACAAGACTTGACAGTCTCAGTCCCAGGTTGCATTCTCTGGCTGTTCTTGCCTGCTGGATAATTGACCGCCTGTCTGACCTGTGTTTCTCTCTGCTTCCTTGTCTGTCTGAATATTTAGGAAGTTGTCATGGTGGATTGTTGATTTGGCAAATAACGCTGAGAGCAAGCAATATTCAGCAAGCCACGACATCTTTTTGTGGGTGGGGGAAGGGAAGCCTCTGGTGCCAAAGGGGGCATTATTTTCTTAGATTAGGAGCTAGGAGGAATCTGGAGTTCAAAGCTGGACAACACTGGGATTTTAATGGGACTCATCTTAATGCTGGCTCAGTTGGTTAGAGCGTGATGCTGATAATGCCAAGGTAGCAGCTTTAATCCCTGGACGGGACAGCTGCATATTCAGGTTGTACCAGATGATCCTCAGGGTCCCTTCCAACTTCTATGAGTCTGTAAGGGCAGCCTGTGTAGATGACACCTCAATGGAGCTCAGTGGCAGAGCACCTCTTTTACGTGCAGGAATCTCCTGGCATCTCCAGGCAGGGCTGGGAAAGGGAGCCTGTCTGAAGCCCTGGAGAAACCGCTGCCAGTCCACCAGGCTTGATGTCTGATTTGGTGTAAGGCAGCTGCCTCTGGTCCACTAGGATTATATTGGGGTCAGAACTGGGAGTGGACCTTCTCACACCAGTCACTGGATCACAATGACAGGACTGATCCAGGGGAATTTTGTACTTATTTGAATGCAAACACCTGCCCCCCTGCCCCAATGTGGGGGCCTATCGTCACCTTCATGGGGTAAGCATGGATTACTAAGGCGTGTTGAATTTTTAGACTTTCAAATTCCAAGAATGAGGGGTGCTAAAAAGTTGGGGAATTCAAAATATATTTTGCTTAAATTAATTATTCTTGCTTGATAAGTAAAATGTGTGTAAAAATTGCATAGAAATCATTAACAATGATTGCCAAGTACTTGCAGTTATATTATTAATTAATTAATTAGCATTATCTGACATTTTCAGAAGGTAAAATTAAATTTCTTTGGTTGTCTGAAAGCAGTTTATGTGTTTCTTCATCAAACATAGACTTATGAAGTTAACTGTTGTCCAATCATAAAAATAATAGCAAATTTTAATTACTCACATCCAAAAACATATTTTTAAGACCACTCACTGAATAAATTTATAAAAATTCAGTTTTACCTCTAAAACAACACACCCTAATAGATGACTACGTTTGACTCCGCACCTGGAGACCCCTCCATGGATGGAACAGCCAAGATGCTCATGCTCACCCTTAGAAGACCTCTTGGACCAATCCATTCTGTAAAGGAAAGTGTTGCTATCCATTAAGGACACTGTTCCATTAATGGGCAGCACTGTTCCAGGAACAGCCTTGCTATACTTTTTACTGGAGGGAAATATGCTTTGGCCTAGAGGGAGCTCTGTTTGAGCAGTCTATGAAAGATATCCATCACAGAATAAGGATGCATGGCAACATGGTTATTTCCAAGATGTCCAAAGCAAAAAACATTGCACTGTATTGCTTAGGTGCTGGTGCAGCCTCTGATGCCAGCTGGCTGAGCTGACATCATGGCATGGCAAGTCCATAAACATAGGCAATTGCTCAGGGAGAAAGAATGTCTGTAGTTCAGGTTCCATGAGGGAAGTGAAAGGTGTCAGCTTGGCTGAGCTTAAAACCCCTCGCATACAGAAGGAGCGGATACCTGTGGACCTCCACAGGTGCCCCATGATATTCTTGTAAAGAAGCTGGTAAAATGCGGACTTGACTATGCTACCACTCAGTGGATTGTAATTGGCTGACTGACCGAACCCAAAGGGTGCTCATCAATGGTTCCTCTTCATCCTGGAAGAAGAGTGACTAGTGGGGTGCCACAGGGTTCTGTCTTGGGCCCGGTCTTATTCAACATCTTTATCAACGACTTGGATGATGGACTCAAGGGCATCCTGATCAAATGTGCAGATGACACAAAACTAGGAGGGGTGGGCTAACACCCCAGAGGACAGGATCACACTTCAAAACGACCTTGACAGATTAGAGAACTGGGCCAAAACAAACAAGATGAACTTTAACAGGGAGAAATGTAAAGTATTGCACTTGGGCAAAAAAAAATGAGAGGCACAAATACAAGATGGGGGACACCCTGGCTTGAGAGCAGTACATGTGAAAAGGATCTAGGAGTCTTGGTTGACCCACAAACTTGACATGAGCCAACAGTGTGATGCGGGCAGCTAAAAAAGCCAATGCAATTCTGGGCTGCATCAATAGGAGTATAGCATCTAGATCAGTGTTTCCCAACCTTGTGCCTCCAGCTGTTTTTGGCCTACAATTCCCATCATCCCTTGCCACTGGTCTTGCTAGTCAGGGATGATGGGAGTTGTAGGCCAAAAACATCTGGAGGCACAAGGTTGGGAAACACTGATCTAGATCAAGGGAAAGTAATAGTGCCACTGTATTCTGGCTCTGGTCAGACCTCACCTGGAGTACTGTGTCCAGTTCTGGGCACCACAGTTCAAGAAGGACACTGACAAACTGGAACGTGTCCAGAGGAGGGCAACCAAAATGGTCAAAGGCCTGGAAATGATGCCTTATGAGGAACGGCTAAGGGAGCTGGGCATGTTTAGCCTGGAGAAGAGGAGGTTAAGGGGTGATATGATAGCCATGTTCAAATATATAAAAGGATGTCACATAGAGGAGGGAGAAAGGTTGTTTTCTGCTGCTCCAGAAGAAGTGGACACGGAGCAATGGATCCAAACTACAAGAAAGAAGATTCCACCTAAACATTAGGAAGAACTTCCTGACAGTAAGAGCTGTTCGACAGTGGAATTTGCTGCCAAGGAGTGTGGTGGAGTCTCCTTCTTTGGAGGTCTTTAAGCAGAGGCTTGACAACCATATGTCAGGAGTGCTCTGATGGTGTTTCCTGCTTGGCAGGGGGTTGGACTCGATGGCCCTTGTGGTCTCTTCCAACTCTATGATTCTATGATTCTATGATTCTATTCTATGATTCCAGATGTTGCTGGGCTCCCATCAGCCCTAGATCAATGTTCAAAGGTCTATGAGAGTCACAATCCAGCAACATCTGGAAACCACAGGTTCCCCACTCCTGCTCTAGGGACAGGAGCACTTGTCTGAGAAAGAGGA